TCTCACAAGACTATTCACTCCTACATCCTCAGCTTCTTTTTCAGGATGCTTTCATGATGGTTGGCTTGTCAATATGTAGAAGTCTTTCCTCACACCCATAAAATTATTTTATCTCGGGGTGTTTTTTAACTCCCCCTTCCATTGAACCCTACCTACTGCACTTTAATTGCAAGCTATGGAATGTCTCAGATGTAGTATCTCATCCTCTTCTTCTGCTACTGTGTGAGAGGTTTTCTCTCTTTTCTCTCTTTCATCTTGGTTGTGCCCTTGTGTCATTTTCAGTGGGTTTTGATAGACCATTGGAGCTTTATTTGGGATCTATTAAATGCCCCTCTTGTCTTTTCCCCTTCATTATGGACCAACCTCTTCTGGTGGTTGGATTGGAACAATACTACCGTGGATGTTCCTCTTCCTCCTTCTTGTCTAGAATCTCACCTTTTAAGGATGCTTCTCTTTCCAGTTAGGGATGTATCTCATCACTCGGGATGTTTCAGGGCAATGGTCTCTTTATAAGTCCACTCTCCATATCAATTTCTAGGTACTTCTTGCTGTTTGTCAGGTTTTCCTTCACTTCTGCAACATCTTTGGGGCTGGTTGGTGATGAACCACTCCATCAATTCAACAGTAGTCTTGTACATCACTGGGAAAGGAGCACTAAATCAACAGACCTCTATTTTCAAAATTTGGATCTTCTGTATTGAGCCCACTGCCTTCGCTTCACTTGTTTGCATGTCCTCATCCAGGTGCCCTGAATCTGGTCAGTTATCCCATCCCAACAAAATTCCCTGTGGAATGGTCTTTGTTTCCTCACATTTTTTGGGGTTTTGTGTGCTCTGTAGGGTGTCCCAGATTTGAATGCTTTTGCCACTCTTGTCAGTACACCACTTCCCCAATTTTGGTCTCCTGTTTCTTATCCTCTGGTGGGAGCAGTCAATGCTATCAGTCAGGATTGTTGGAACCTATATGCATATCTTCCTATTTGTCTCCTACCACGTGCCTTTTCCACACTTCAGACCACTCTGTGTAGTGTTCTGCTGGTGACTCTGTACTGGCCGACTCACACGTGGTTTCCACTGCACCATTGATTTTTAATGTTGCTTTCCCTTTCTCTTACTTTCTCTCTGACACTCTTCTATCAGCCCCAATCTGACATGTGTCATCTGACATACCAGCACTTTGTCTTCATGCTTGACTTTGTCCAGTCCCTTGTCTGAAGTGCCAGACTTTCCGATATAGATTATTTCATTTGCCATCCTGTTTGCCCTTTCTCCATGGTGGTTTACCACTTTTAATGGTACATGTACCACTGTTAGTCTGTCTGCAGGGGTTATTGTTCTTCCCATCCTACTATTTCTCACATACTGTCCTTTTTGCCTTGGTTTTTTGAATGGGACTTTTTGGTTTTCTTTGTTGTGGGCTATCAGGTGAGGTTATCTGCCACTTTTTGGTTTACCAAATGGGCTTGTGTTTTCAAGTTGCCAGTTTTATCCATGTAATTTTATTCCATCCACTCTTCCCTTCCTCTCCACCCTGCTTCCCTTCCTGTTTGATACCTCAGTGCAGTCCTCCATTTGAACCTTTGTTGATCTGCGAAGGTTGTTGTTCTGATGTGTTCGTGATTGTTGTTTGCCATATTTTGTTTCTTTAGTTCCTATATACTCCTCTTTCCTGACTGTTCCTTTATGCCTAAGACTTTGGCTGCATGAAAGGGTACTTCTACCTTCACACTTTTTTCCCTTCCAACCATTTCCCATATGTGTGACCATTCTAATCCCACCCTCCTCCTTTGCCTGGTCAGGGCTCTCCAATGGTATATGACATCTACTACTCCATTCCATGGTTCCTGAGTCCATTTGTTTCTTCCGTGAAATCCTCACCTCTCCTGTGACCTTTTTTCCTATTACCCTTCTGGGTTGAATTCACTGGTTTTTCTTCCCATTTTCCTGATGATTGTCACCTTTTTAATGTTTTCTTCCTATTGAATCCATCACCTTACCATGTCCCTGGCTTCACATTTCCATATTCCCTTAGGGAACATCATCAGTGCTGTAACTGTTTTATTTGTGGGTTGTAAGTACTCTGTTCATTTTTCTTTTTACTTTGCAGAGACTTGTATGACATCTGTATGACATCTTGGATCCCACTCTGTGGTGAGTGTTACCTGACCAGGTATATTTAGTCTTAACTCTGCACTGTAAGATGTGTGATCATATACTGTGCTAGGTGACTGTGATGTTGATGCTCTTCCTACCGAGGACCTGATGTACAATTCCAGATGGTGCCAGGTATTGGTTGATTGGCTTGGTCAACATGTTATCTGTGTTTTCAAATTACAGTGTCATAACACATATCCAGGTTATATTACGCATATCATTTAGATTGGATATGCTGCATGACTGCTCATATGTATACCTCGTGGTCTTTTGCTTCAAAAATTTGTTCATCCTGGAGCATACACTCATGGACTAACATGAGTAAAGCAGACAGAAACTTCTGTCTGTTGATCTGTGAAAATCGAGGCTGTCCTACTACAGCCCTATTTACAATTACAGATGCCACTAGGGGTTAGTTGATTGACTCTGCCAACGTGATTGCTTTGCTTTTCAAAATAAAGTATTGTGGTCACCCATTGTGTTGTTTCTGGTGCTGCAATCCTCCAGGCTTTCCAACACACTTTTCCCCACTTCTTGTGGAGTATGGGAGTCCTTACCACTTGCCAGTTCCTAACTACTGGGGTGGTGGACCATGGAGGTTTGTTCTCCTGAGTGTGCACAATATTACTCAGTTGGTAGTAGGATGGTGGCATTTTGCTGGTGTAGATAGTGTGATGCCCTTCTTACTGCAGATCTGATAAACAATTCTAGATGCCATCAGGTATTGGCTGTAGCACTCCACTGTATATTGAAGTTTGCCCAATGACTGAGACACACTCTTCCTACTGCAGACTAGATGATAAATTTCAAATGCTGCTAGGTTTTGGACTGGTGATGCACACTGTATAGCCATCCCTCTTCCCACTGTCCACTGGATGTTGGTTCCTAATGGATCTGGTGTTGGTTATAGCTAGATGAGACACATGAAATCCTGCAGGTGTAAGGTTGATTACCCTGCTCTTACCACAGACTGGATGAAAAATTCCAAATGCCACCAGGTGTTGGATGGATGAGGTTGAATTCTCCTTTATAGCCTGTCAGGCCCTAGCCACTCTACACTGGGTGGAGGGGGATCTCTTTATTTCTGTTACTTTTCTTGGGGTCCCTCCTACTTTTCTGTCCATTTTAGTGACACATTTATAATGGGGGAAGAGTAAACCTGTCTCAGAAGTGGTGCGGTCTCCCACAGATATGTTGTTTTTAGTTCCTTCTCACACCCCATGGTTTTCTATTTGGTGCTTCCTCATGGGGGATCATCTTCTCACCAGCCCTTCCCCTGTACAGTGTGGGATTCTAGCTTTTAGTGAGAGGAGGTAAGGTATTGTATTGGAAATGTACATTTTCTTAAATTGAAAATATATTTCTGATAGATACTTACCTTCACTCATATTTCCCACCTGTCCCTCCCCACTTCTAGTTTGGTTTGGTTTGATTTGATCTGACCAATCTCAAAATGATTAACAGTTCAAGATTAGAGAGGGTGCTAGTTATGATAGGGGTAGTGTCACACTCCTATTGGTGGAGGGTTGCTGCATAATCTGTTAGTTTGCAGAGATAAGTTGGAGTATCAAGTCTAGTGGAGAGTGAAAATTTGGGCCTATAGAGAGCAGTATAAGTCGAGAAAGCTTTTCTCATTTTCAGTTTAAGAAAGTGTTAGCTTTCATAAATTATTCTAAGTCAAACCTAGTTGTTGCAAACAAACTAGCTTACTTATCTAATACCACAGACTTAACATTATTTTGTTTTATTTGAACAATCTATCCATACAGTATTATATAAAATTTTGAAAGTGTTCAAAATTTCTATTTATTGTAAAAAACTTAATTTCTTTTATACAGAGGTTGAATATGTTATAATAAAACTGTTGAATATGCAGATCAGCATGTCATAACATGGTGAAATGGTATGTGTCAGAAAGACATGTTTAATATTTTGTTGGTAGTGTGATGCTAATGAAAATTTATCACTTTTGGAAAGGGTGTGTAGCACTCAAATCATAAAGACGTGTCCAGATCAAGGATTTAGATTTTCCAGATGGGGATATCCCTTGTACTTTATGGCATTTGAAAACAAAGGAATATAGATAAACTTGGGGCACCAGAACTATCTTGAAAGAGACCTGCAACAAGTAAGCAAAGTGGAGTATCTTGTAACAGGTGAGAATCCATGAGCACAAAGGTCAATGGCAAAAGCCATCTACGTGTGCCATACAACAGTATGCAACATACTCTATCTGGAAAGCCCCAAAATTATGTGTACAAATATTTCTTCCATGACATATCTGCTCAAATATTGCATACCTCAAGCAGCTGGAGAATGAAATGGGTATTTTTGCTATTCCATACAAAGACATACTGGTCAAAGTGCCAAGTTCAGCACCTATGAATTTGTATGCAATCAGACTATTGAGTGCTGGGAAGCTATTGTCCTGGTACACCAAAGAGAACATGAAAGCCTTAAGACAGTCTTTTGGTATGGGAATTACACTTCAGTGCTATTCTCAAGGTGCACATTCTTCAGATAGAGGATAACTGTGTGTGGTGACATAGACTGTAATGACATAGTGAGGCTTCAAAATCCTTTTAATATAACATACTCAGTTTCTGTATTTTGTAAATTTGTCAAAATTGTAATTAATGGTGAAATAGGTTGTTCACTATATAATTATAGTTAATGTTTAAGTTTAATTGTTGAAATGAAAGTTTTTAATGCCTTTTGCTCCCTAGGCTTTATATTTTTATGGATGTAATGTACCTTTTGAAAATTGAATTGTATTTGATAACAACAATAATTTTTTATTGTTCCAATGGATGATGCCCAGAATAACAGTTTATTATACTTCTTCAGCACCTAAAATAACTTCAAATCGGTTCAACAATGTTACCCCTTCTGTGAAAAGTGTCTCTCATAGAGACTTGACGTCAAAAGAGAGTTTTATTGCATCATTGTCATCCTTTGTACCAGTAAACAAAGCAAATTGTGAAGCTGTAGATTTCAGAACTCATTTCAAGTCCAAGAAAGAACAATTAACCAAAAGGTTATATAATATGTACAATGAAAAAGTTTTTAACAATGAGGTAAGAGTTGCATTTTATGTTAAAAACCATCTTACTTTCATTTCACATTTTTTAAAGTTCCTTATACTTTTGATTTAGAGTAATTATTTGTAACTAAATTAATTATATAATCAGATAGATCTCATCTTAACAGGTATGAAGCTTTCATGTAAGTTATGCAAAGAAAGCAGCTTTTAAATGTAGTATAATAAAATCAGAATGGTAGGGTTTGTTTGTAATCTAATGACGACACCTTGCCTTATCTTTTATTAATACTACTTAAAAATGTTAAAAATATTTCAAACATAACAATATCTAAAGTAGTTAGAAGTTGAGGAATAAACACATAGCTTGTGTTTTGTTGTAGCTGCCCAAGTATAGGATAACTGCTGTAAAAGTTTTTCTGTTTGAGAGAAATAAAGTCTTAGTATGCAAGTGGAGTAAGTTAAAAGGAATCTGTTTTTTGAGTAGGAGGTAAAATGTGTAGTTTCTTCTCAATTTCTAAAGCTTCTTATACAGGTAAAGAAAAATTTAAATTGTTAAAATGCTTAAAAAATGATTAATAAATCTAAATCTTTATACAGATTGAAGAGGATAGAGTAGAAAATTAAAATAAGCATTGTAGAATTGCGGTTATAGTGTAAGAAAAGTGTAATATTTTTAAAATCATTTCGGGTAGCTTATTGTGGTTAAAATTATTTCTCCAAGTATGGTTACTAGATTTATGAGTGTCTGTAGCAGTGAAAGGTAAACTACCATTTGTGATGAGAGGAAAAGATTTCATGAAGCTTAAACATTCTTTCTAATAGTATTATAATGCCATGACTGTAGAAATATTTATATCATAATTATATAATACACTCGTTTATAAAAAATAACTGGTTCTCTCTGTTATAGCTTTTGTGTAAAAGTAGTATGACATAAAACTGCAGCACAAACGTATAAGAATTGTTTCATTTTTAACAATGGAGCAGACTTGTTTTTACTTCAAGTACCACAGAATGAAACTTGCACATTTGATAATTTTAACTTGCATGAAAAAGATTATTGTTTTAAAAGACCTTTCGTAAACAACAGAAAAAAATAAATGAACACATTTCATAAAAAATCTGATAATGCTTCAGGTTTATCTTGCAATATAATTGTGTGAATTTTTGTGTTTGAATTGTGTATAAAGTCTTTTTTTAACTTAAAAACTGAATCTAACTTTTATAGGTACTTTATGAAAATTACTTGTACACTTACAAGTGACAAAATCTAACATAGATCATGTTGGTACTTTTTACAATCTTCCTTTCATGCACTTTTTGAACATGTTTTCATTCAAATTTTTAAATACAGTAAAGAAAAAGTTTCACTGGAAATTACCTGACACCAAGTAATTTTTTCCATAATTAAATTTGTGCTTCCCTAACTTATAACTAAAAAAAAAATTTTAGTTTTGTATTTTTATATTAGAGTGATGGAAATAAGATGTCTTTTTAACTTGTTAGTTTCTCTGTCAAATTCAGCTTCCATCTGACCTCAGCATTACATGGAATCCCCGTTTAAGGAAGACTGCAGGTTGCTGCTACTATAGAAAACATTCCAGCTCATTAAATAGAGTAGCTAGAATTGAGCTTGCTCCAAAAGTTATAGATTCTGCTGGTAAGTTTTACTTGTTTTGGATCTATTGACATAAGAATGTTTGTTAATTATAACAATTTTATTTTTATGGTCAAGATAACATTTTTTAGAAGAAATTTAATATGAATAAAAATAAATGTTTAATGAAGGACTATATTACATTAATAATCTTATATGATTGATAACAATGCCTATCAATATTAATAATCCTTGCATTACCAACGGGAATGGTACAATCGAACAAGGTACAAGGTTTTGCAACTTAAAAAATATTAAACAGTGTCCTGGTATCTCTGCTCACATAATGCTTTTTTTGATTAATGCTGCCCTCTATATACTCCCACCTACCCCCCATGTATTTAACATGGTACAGCTGCACTATATGACAGACAGCATGACACACTCTCCTGGTGCAGCTGTCTTCCCCTGGATTACAGAGTCCAACCTCACTTCTCGATTTGGCACTGAAATGGTTAGATGATATGCACGCCACACTTTGTGAGTTTTCAAATTTTGAGAAATTTTTAACTTTTGTGCTTAGTTTTTGAACTTCAATGTTTGACTTCAATAATCTAACAGCAGTTCAATACAAGTTGAATTTTTTTCATGAAAATTGTTCTTTCTCTCTTTTTGACCATAACTCGTTTTTAAGAATATTTTGTTTTGATGTACTTATCCACTCGAAATTCAGGGATGAATTCAGAGTTTGTTGTCATGACAACTTCAACTGCTACCACTTCCATGGTTCAATCACCTGTTACTGTGACCATAGGTGCAGCATTATTGGCAGAGGAAGTTTTGGCTTTCATCTGCAGGAAAAATGAGTTGTTCATGCAGGCTGGGGGCTCTCCTGACCCTCAACCAGTTCTTCCCTCTCCTGGGGATGCTGGACAGGAGGATGACGACTTGAACAGCCTTTTCTCTTCTCCTTCCTTTGCTGTGCAGTCTTTTTCAGATGTGGTTAATGCTTCTAGACCTTCATCAGATTATCTGGACTTGGTAACACAGGATTATTATGTTTTGTCCTAGTCCCCAGTGTCATATGACCCTTCTTTTCCTTGTAACATGTTACAACTGCTCCCAAATGTTTTTCCTCCTCCTCCTGATATCAGGGTCTATGCTGAGCTTTTTAGCCAACCAATTACATTCAGGGATTAACATGCCACATGCCACATTCAATCCCAGTTTGGGGTTTGGACCCTGATACTACAGTCTATTTCTCCAAGGCAAAGTTCTCCTGCATTTGTATAAGCTTAACCTTCCTTTGCTACTTATCTTCCATTCACTTTTTGTCTGAGGCAATCCATTGTTTCCCTGTGGGGTTTTAGAGCAATGGCCATTCCCTATTGTTGTCATATTGTTCCTATTTTTCCAGTGGGCACTTACTCCAGGTTGTTGGATGACAAAGACAGTGTGTCTGATGCATACCTCCATAACCCTTGCATCCCTTCAGTTTGTCCATAAGTATGAGGTCAACCTATTGAGAGCCTTTCATTTGGAATGGCCTTAGCCTTTTCCATTTTTCGGGTGGTCAAGTGTTTCATCAAATGACTTCATTCTTGAGGGTTTCATTTCCATCATTACATGGACGACTGCTTTCTCTGGCTCCCTTATTAGCAGTTTCTTCCTGCCACTCTCAGTTTATTCTCAGAGAAGTTGCACAGGTGGGCTGGCTGGTCAAGTTTGAGAAATCTTTCCTGATCCTGACACAATATCTTATTCATCTTGGGATCTTTTTCAACTCCTATCTCAGATGTGTCTAACCTTCTCTGGTTTGACTATGGTCTGTGGAGTTGGCAGTTCAGAAAGCACAGTCCTCTCCTACTCTACCTGTGTGGGAGGTTCTATTACTTTTGGGGACTTGGGCATCCTTGGTAGCCCTTATTTCCCTGTTTCATGCTTACATGAGGGCTCTTCAGTGGGTGTTACATGATCAACGGGACTTCACCAGGTATACCCTGGATTCCCCTATCAACCTTCTTCTCTCCCTTCTCAACTATTTTGCCTGGTGGCTAACCAGAGACAACACTATGACTAAAGTACCTCTTCTACCTCCCAGACTGGACTTACACCTTTTTACAGATACCACTCTGACAGGTTGGAGAGCATATTTGGATTCTCAGGTCATTGGTTGTTGGGCGAGTCCAAGTTTCATATCAATCTCCTGGCACTTTTGTCCATTTGTCAAACTCTGGATCATTCTTGGTCTCTTTGTGTTAATACATTGGATCTTCTGTTCTGGTCACACATCCAGCATGTTTTCCTGCAGGCTTGTCATATCCCAAATGCTCTCATCTCAATCTTGTTGTCAATCAGTTATCTTATCCTGACAGGATTCTTCACACTGGGTGGTCTCTTAATCTACATGTCTTCTATTGGTTGTGCTCTCAGTTGGGTACATCCTAGTTGGATGCATTTGCCACTCATCAGAACACCAAACTCCCTCTCTTTTGGTCACCAACCACCAGTTCCACATCCTTCAGCATTGGCAGTAGATGCTTTCAGCCAGAACTGGAAGGACTAATGCATTTATGCTTATATTCCCATCCATCTACTAATACTTACCAGAGACTTCTCTGTCATTTAAACCACACTGTTGAGTCCCTCTTGTGGCATCATTTTGGCCTGCTCAGACTTGGTTCCCAGTACTACAGCCTCTACAGTAGTCACCATCGCTACCTGTTCCTCTCTCATGACTCTTCTTTATCAACCACATGCATCCAGGTTTCCTTTCAACAGATCCATCATCTCACCATGTCCCTGGCTGCTTGTTTTCATTGTCCATTGGAGGAGATAATCCAGGCCAGCATGTGGACCACTCTTCACATTTTTGTTTCACATTATCTACATCGTTTGGCCATTTTCTACTTGACCAGATTTCATCTGCCTCCTATTGAAGTCTTACATACTATGGTGCAACTATAAATGGGTAACTTGTCAATATTTCTATTACATGGTCCTTTTCTATTGCTTGTTGTTGGATCCTACTCTGTGGCAAGTTTTGCCTGTCCAGATATACCAGTTCTTAAATCTGCACTGTCATGAATACCCACTGTTGAGATGGGATGCTCTACAAGACTCCTTGTAGATTCTTCCTTGCAGTGTTTTGCGTCATTAATGTGTCTGTCTCACACTCATGAACTAGCATGAGTAATGCAAAAGGGATTGCTACCTGTCCCTGTGACTTCTTTGATTGAATAAATAAGAAATTGTGTGCTTTTAAAAATAGGGTTTTGTGGTCACCTGTTGCACTTTCTCCGATTTTGCATTCTTCTGGACTTTCCGATGCAACTCCCCCTTCTTCCAGTGGAGTAGAGGAGTCCTTACCACTCACCAGCTCTTAGCTGCTGGTGTGGTAGACCATGGAAGCTTCCTCCTGAATGTGTTAAATACCACTCAGTTGAGAGTAGGGTGGTGTTCAGTTGGTAAAGATGGTGTAGAATTCTCCTCCTAGCATGGTAGTAGAATGCCCAGTGACTCCTGGAGATGATTCATCATAATGCAGTTCACCCCTCTAGCTGGAACCTTTTATCCTACCACCACCTGGATGTTGGTTCTCAGGTTGTATAGTGTTGAATTAGAGCTAGACCAGCCAACATATGTTCTCACATGTGAATGGGCTGGGATCCACTTTCTACCATGGACTAGATGATACATTCCCAATGCTGCATGGTTTTGGATTAGGTTGAATCTCCTTTTTTCATTCCACCTTCCTACCATTGTCCGGATGTTGGTTCTCAGGAGGACAGGTGTTGGTCGTGTTGGATATGCACACGGTGGCTCGGGTTCTTGGAACAGTTATGTTCTTTCCCTTCTGGTTCCTGAGTCTGAGATGAATGGTAGAAGACCTTCTCCTATCTGTGGGCTAGATGATTCTTTCCTGGTTCTGCTGGTTTTGATGGAGTTGATCTCCCGATTATGGTCCATTGTACCCTAGCGATTCTACACCATGGGTATGCCTGGTTTCAGCTGGCTGAGGATCTCCTCCTTCTGGGGACTGGGCAAACCATTCTCTGGTTTTGGACTGGTGTTGACCTCTTGTTTACAGTTCAAATATAGATGGTTGAGGACCCTTCTCCTACCAGAGACAGGATGTTCCTTTCCCAGTTCCAATGGTTTGGGGCTGGAGTTGATCTCCCGACTATTATTGGACATGTTTTGTCCACTTTATACCTGGAGTACATATGATCAATTCGTGTATGTGCCTCTTTGCTGCCTGTTTCATGACATTGTCATACTTCATGGGTGAAGAGTATGCCTGATTCAGACTTGGTGTGGTCTCCCATGAGTGTGTTTCCTCTTCACAGAGATGTCATACTCCATGGGTTTTCTTTAGATGCATTCTGTAAGGGACTCATTTAGGTCTTTTTACACCAGTCCCTTCACCAGTTCAATGTAGCATTCTAACTGTTAAGTGTGGGTGGATGTAAGGTATTGTATCATTAGTTATGATTTTCCTACACATAAAATGTATTTCCAATAGATACTTCTTCTCACACTTCCCACCCTTCCTCTCCACTTCTGGTGTTTTGTTCTTGATGCCTAATCTCGAAATGAGGTTAGGTTCTGTAATCCAGGGGGTGAAAGCTGTGCCAGTAGAGTGTATCATACTTCTATTGGTGGAGGGTTGTAGCATGCATTTTTATGCTATAGGGCAGCTGTACCATGTTAAACACATGGGGTTAGGTGGGAGTATAAAGGCTAGTGGCGAGCAAAATATTGAACATACTTGGACAGCATTTATTGAGGAGCTATTATGTGAGAGGGGTATCTATCAGAAATACATTTTCTGTGGAGGAAAGTTGTAACTTTCCTAATCATGAAAGGCACAGAAATGTAGCATTAACAGGAACAATGAGCTTCCTTATGACTTTTGGGACTAACAAATTAAAAAATAGGTTATTTTTTTTAGACTTTTGAGTTCATTGTTATTAAAAGTAATAGGTGAAATTTGTTGCTGGGTTTTTATTTTTATGTTTCATATACACATAACTTATTTATGTATTAGATCGTCTTAGAGATACATTAATTCACGAATTGTGTCATGCTGCAAGTTGGATCATTAATGGTTATCGGGATGGACATGGCCCTATTTGGAAGACCTGGTAAGTATGATTTGCTTTAACAACAATAAAAAATTATAATTTTTTCCTGGAGAGACATTTTAACGTTTTTTATGACAACTTGGCACATCTAAGATTTCATTCTAATTGATGTTTCTTCTTCTGGCAAACAGTTCAATGTGAACAATTGATGTATTTGTATTAAAATTGTTTTTTATATACTATTTTTCCAGTAATATGAACGTATTTTTCTTTGGTGAATTAAATGTATTGTTTATAAGTGCATAAATGAACTCTTTACTCACTCCTTGATTATCAGCATAAGCCAAAAACCTTTCCTCATACCTTAGCCATACCTTAGTATGTGGTTAAATATATGAAAAGATCGTAAAGTCTAAAAAGTGGTGTATTTATACACTCGTATACTGATAGATAGATATTGATTTTGGGTGTCTGATGACATTTAGTTTGGAACTTTATATATTTCATATTATTTGAAATAAGCCTCAGATTAATTGAAGTAGTAAAAGATATTCAATGAAACTAGAGCAATAAAGGAAATATATTTTTTGACCAATCAGTGTCGAAGTACTTTGGCAAACTTAGTCCAGGTAGTTTGTTTTTTATACTTGATGTTTTACTGTATTATAGCAGATAAATTTCTGAACAATTAAGGAGGTGCTACAATCGTTGGTGTGGATTTTCATTGTTAGTGGCATTGTCTCTGTGTGAGAAATAATACACGTTTTTTGTTTCCTGTTATATCTTTCATAAATATCATTATAGGTGTTAGGTGCTTTTGGATATGCTGTCAGCATAAATTGTAACACCAAATATATGTACGTTTGTAATGTTAACATTTTGCCAAGAAAAATAAGGGCTTAAAAAAACAGTTTTATATGATGATGTTTTCGTGTGTAGTGCTAAATCATTAATTTCTGATTGCTAAAAGTGGTGGGTAGGTATAAGACAGACAAATGTGATGTACTGTTGATAAAATTTCTCTTACATTGTATTCATTACATTGTTTTTTTTTAGGAACAGGAGATTTATAAAAATGTAAGAAATAATTGAAATGTAGTTTTTTGTTCTATAATCTTTTCTTCAACTATTTGCTAGAAGAAGCGTTTTTGTCATGTTTTACTGAAATAAATTTTCTTTGTTATATTTTATCAAATTCAAATAATAATATGTATATTGTCTTCTTTTTTTTATTCAGGGCAAGGAAGGCAAGCTTGCAGTTTCCAGAACTTCCACCAATAACTCGTTGTCATGGTTATGTTATTCAAACCAAATACACATATAGATGTATTCGTTGTGGAACCTGGTGAGTTTTTTACTTCCAAAACAAATACTTACCTCCGTACATGGATAGCTATCTTCTTCTTGCATTTATGCCTCGGAGACTTGCATATCACCAGCCTTGTGAAAACTCCCATCTGAATTCACAGTGTCAGTGTGAATTTGTGCTACTTCATGATGATGTATCATGAAGCAAAACCCTCCACCAATAGAAGTGTGACACACCTCCTTGCACAAATCCTCTCTCTACATTCATTTATGAGAATCCTCATTCTTTAACTCAGCACAGTTGTCTAAAGACATGTTCTTGTTTGCTGAGATTTGTTAAAGAACTTTGATCTCAACTTTGATTGTGTTTGAACATAATCATTATGAATTCACAATTCAATGTGAATTCTTCTTCAACTGATGTAAGTGAAAATATCACTCACACTGATCAAATTGCCAACAATTTTGGAAGTCCTTTATCTGTAGAAGATGTGACAACATGTGGTGGAGGTCCATGATGCTGTTGAAACCCTCTGCATCTGTCCCTGCCACACAATTAATACCAATCCCTTGCCTTTGAACTGACTCTGTGAAGGATTATTTTGAATGGCTTTTTCGACCTCCAGACTTTGCTTTGGGTACCTCCATGCCTTCTGAAGAACAAGCCTAGCCTTTCTCAGGTTTCCAGAACTTTATTACCTAGGCATGTACTGTTATTTCTCTGTAACTCATACCTTTGACACTTCCCATTCTTTCTTACATAGCCCTTCCTCTCATGATTTCTTTGTTTTTTCCCTTCTCCCCTAATATTTCTGTCCATGTCAATTCTTTTTTTGATCAACTTCGTTCATGTAACCTCGTGTTTTAGTTTTCACCATGTCCCCTGTGACTGATCCCTACTTCCTTACTTATGGTCACTCTCTTTTTCCTTTTCTTGACATCAAATGAGCCTCTTTTGCTAGTTTGGGGACAGATTCTTTGTTGACTGTCTCCCTATCTAGTGCCTAACTTTCTTGATTTTGAGCCTTTCTTACTACCCTTCTTCCTCTCTTCGTCTTATGGAAGAAGCCCATCACTGTTCCCTTTATGAATTTTCTTGGGCACTAGAGCATTCCTCTTCTCTTCCATTGCCTGTTCCACTTTCTCAACCCTTTTGTTTCTCACTTGGTTCCTTTGTTTTGAGACCGTTTTGGAAAGGATGGCCTTCTTTTCCAAGTCTGATTACCTTTTTCCAAGAACTTCGTTTTGCCCCTTTTTCCAACAAGAAGACTTTGGTGGTATTCCTGATTCTCTCGAATCACAGGCTGAAGCTTGCTATCATTCTTCCCTTTCCTCCTACATCTTGTGTTTCTTCCAGTAACACACTTCCACACCCTTTTCCCCTATTCTATCCCAGTATCTTGACCATCCACCTCTTCCATCTGATGTTTTGCTCATCAGCGTAACTGCCAGTGACCATCCAGTCAGTTTGGGACCTGTTGGAGTCTCTCTGTTCCAGTTTGTACATTTATAGACACATTTCACTTCTGACAGATGTGCCATTCAAGTCCTTACTCATGGTCTTTCCTTTCACTTCTCTTCCCCACCTACTTTTCTTTCCTAACCTGTTGTCTTTCATCACCCTACAGATCCAGCCTACCTTTAATGTCTGGAAGGAAAAGTTTTGGACTTGTTGGAGAAACGAGCCATAGAGAGAGAGTTTATGACCCATCTCTGGGTTACTACTCTCACCTTTTCATTGTCCCCCAAAAGGCCAGGGCCTCCACCAATCCTCTTTTGATCATTCCTCATTTTCAGATGAAGAATAATTTCACTTTTTGCTGGTCTTTCCAACCAAGCCTATGGATAACCAAAGATGTGTTGGATGCCTTTCTCTATATCCTGATAGCCCCAGCCTCACTGCATTTCCTCAGATTTATCTAGAGGAACTATATCTTTAAATTCCAAACACTTTCATTTAGATTATCATCAGCCCCCTACATATTTAGTCGCATTGTGTGGCCCTTCACTTGTCATCTGCGTGGTTTGGGACTATGGCTCCGCTTCTAAATGGATGACTGGCTTCTCCTCTCCTGCTCCCAGGATGAATCCTCAGATCATATTTTCCTCTTTCTTCACAAAGCTGTTCACATAGGGTGGCTTGTCAAAACATCCAAATCCTTCCTTACCCTGTCCTAATACCTTATCCACCTGGAGATCCTTTTCAACTTTTACCTCAGCTGGTCATCAAAATCTCTCTCTCCTTTGCCTTCCATGCAGAAGGTTCTATCTTTTTTGGGGACTGTGACTTCTCTGGAGCCTCTAATTCCACTTGGTTTTGCACATACGTCCTCTACAGTGGGCATTGCATAACCAATGGAACCTGTCCAGGGATCCATTGTCCTCATGGATCCTCTTTCCTGGAGGACCTTGTTTGGTGGCTAGATCACTCCAATACCACCTTTGGCATTCCCTTGCCTTAGTCCAAGTCAGACCTTCACTTATTCATTAACCCTTCTCTCATTGGGTGGGGAGCAGAGGTGTGTTCTCTTCATATCAACATCCTAGAACTGTTTGCTGTCTGGTGGGAATACTCCCATTTCCTTCCCCTCCTGGTGGATAAATTGGTTGTGGTCCACTTGGACAACTCCATGATCTTGTCACACATCAACTATCAATGGATCATTTGTTTCAGGACCCTCTGCTTTGTACCTCCTTTATTGGGCCCATTCCAATTGGGTGAGCTTAATTGCTTGCCATGTTCTGGGAGTTTTGGCCATTGTAGCAGACCATCTGTCTCAACTGGACTACTTCCTACCTATGACCTGTCCCTTCACCTTCAGATTTTTTATTGGATATGTTCCCAACATGGTACTTCTCTGATAAATACCTCTCCTCTCAAAGCCAAACCTCCTCATTTCTGGTCTCTTGTTCTTCATCCATCAGCCTTGGCTGTAGATGCTCTCATTAGGACTGATCTCATCTCTTTCTCTATGCCTATCCTTCTCTCAGCCTTCTTCCATACTCTTGTTGTGGTTTGGGACACCCCATGCAGAGTACTGTTGGTGGTCCCTTATTGGCCTGCACAACCTTGATTTCCACTTCTAGGTCTTCTTTCAACAAAGTCTCTCCCTTCCACTTCCTACCATTTCATCTCTTTTCTCGTCTGGTACAACCACACATCTCTCTTCCATCATGAAGTGACACCTCTTCATCTTCATGTATGGGATTTGTCTGGCCCATCAAGCCAGACTTTCTAAACAAGTAGCCTTCCATTTTTCCCACTTCTCTCGATCTTCCAATTCTTCTTTGGAATTTAGGTGATAATTTTCATAAGGCTGGTGGCATGCAAGTCTCGGGCAGAAATGCACAACTTCAAGAGAAAAATAGCTATCTGTGTACGGAGGTATCTATTGGAAATACATTTTCAGATAAGGAAAATGTTACCATTGCACAGAATCCATGTCTTATTAATAAATAAAAGCATTTTTAATTTTTTAACTTTAATGATAGAATTCTCACAATAGAAAGAAGTCCAAGCCTTATGAAAAATTTTCTTATACTGCAATCCACAATTAAAGTATTAACCCTTTTAGAAGTAATGTGTATGATGTACACACTTACAACTATTGTTTGTTGCAATGAAATGTTTATATTTTGAAGAATCCTGCATCATTAACCTTCGGTTTACCAAAGGGAGTCCATATGGATCCCATTTGCATTTTAAACACATTTGTTCTACATTATTTATGTACCAACTGCTTGTGGGTTTGTGACTTTTTGGTTATAGATCCCTAATAATATGAGGTATTTAAAAATATGTTAACAAAAATATTATTATTGAGGGTTATTCTACTAATTACTTCTGTAATCTTATATGTATTTTGCATAGAAAATAAGTGATTTCACTTAAATATGTGGTCAGTTCTTTGTACTAAGTGTAGTAACATACAAAAAAAATTACATAATATGATGCAATATATGGTCCTCTCCAGTAGGGAACAGTATAAAAACAAATTCATAATATGAATGTTAAAAATGTTTTGTACACATGTAACAAACTTTGGAAGGACTTCATTTATTTTCTCCATACATCTTTGATGCATTTGTTGTAATAAGATTCAAATATAGTGAGTATTGTCAACCTGAAGTCTAGAAAATGCTATATAAAGAACTTATAACGAAATATATAGTTTAGTGATATCTGTATCAATAAGATATTTTACTTGGATGATAGTAAATGCAATAATTCTATACTTCGTTAAACCCAATTGTGTAAAGGAAATTGGTAGCCTCTCAGTTCAAATTCTTAAAGTGGAGAATTTACAATTGGAAAGACCTTCTGGTAAGAGTGTTTGTAATAGTTATACAGAAATGAATTTCTTGAATCCCTTCCTTTTGTGGGTGTTCTTGCTGGGCAGTTGTTAGGGTATGTTAGCTTTTTATGTTTCGTTACTTGTAGAAAAAAAATGCATAAGTTCTTAAAAAGAATGTAAAAAAAATATAAAATTACAAACTAAGAACTTAAAAAAAGTTTATCTAAAGTAGTTCTTTGTCATTTTTTTGCAAGTTAACTAAATCTTGTTCTGTTAGTTTGTTCTCTTACCCCACTTGTTTTATGTTAATAAGGGCAGGAAGATATTAGCAAAAGTTGTTAGTTGCAGGAAAAGAAACTTTGTAATAAACATTCAGCAAAGATTAATATTTGGGAGCAGAACTTGTTCATTTTAACATTGGAAGTCTTCTTACTTTATTTCTAATAGTTCTAAAAATTAAACTTTTAACTTGTAAATAAAAACATTGTACTTTTATGAAATTTATGTGTTAGGTTTACAAAAGTAAAGAAAGATGTTAATAAATGTTTACTGTGGATCTCTTTCTCCACATAAAGGCATACTTAACTCTGTCTTGTGTTATCCATGTAGCTGAAGTTTCTGATTGTAGAAATATTTCTTTGGTTATTTAATTAACTAAATTATACGAAATTTATATTTAATTTTTTTACTTATGCCAAGGTTTATATGGGAGACTACTTTCTGGAGATTAATTTGAGATAACTGTTGTTGTTTCAAATCTAGAACACTTTGATCATGAACTGTTTCATTGCCTGTAAGTGTGTCAATGCATTATTCTAGAAACAAGAAGAATTAAATATACACCCATGGGGTTAAAAGTGAGATATATAACTGTTAAAATCTAAACATTAAATATTACTATACATTGACTAGTAAAGTTTTGTGACAAAATATTTAAATTTATTTTATAGTGTTGGAAGACATTCAAAGTCTTTAGATGTCAACAGTAAAGTATGTGGCCGTTGTGGTGGTAAATTTGAATTGCTGGTGAATGGAAAGTTAAACTCAGCCTCCAAGACACCAAGTGGTTTTGCTCTCTATGTGAAAGAAAATTATGGATCTTTGAAAAAAACCAATCAGCATTTGAAACATGCTGAAATCATGAGGTTACTAGGTTTGGACTTCTCATCAAAAGCAAAGATTGTAGACTGAATTAATACTGTACATGTTTTTTACCGTGCATTTGACAAGAAAGATTGAATTTTTCTGAGATCATTGTAATACAAGAGATTTAATCATGTCTATTTGAATTTAATATTAATGAAATAAAACTTTTAGGTATGTTAAATAATTAGATGTCTTTATACCTACCTTAACAGTATTAAAAACATTGTTATTTTAATGTGTAGGTGTGTTTTGTCAAGTACATATTTACAAGTAATTAATTCTTTTTTAATCTGTGGTATTTACCTAATGACGTGGAAAGAACCATGTTTAAAGAATTAAATTGCTGGGATTATTAATAAGTGAAAAGAATGAAGCATTTAAACATTAGATATAAATTGTTCAAGTGTAAAGATAAACTAGTAGTTCTTTTACCAGATGTTAAGCTGTTTGTTTTGTGATGTTATTAACAAGATAACATAAATCAAAGCTAAAAATTAAATAATATACATTTTGCTGTCCAGATTCTTTCAATTAAATTTATTTTGAAAATTATTTTGAGGTTTAGAATTTTTTTTAAAGTTAAATAACACCTTAAAAGATTTGAGAAAATATAATAGTAAAGAAAGCATTTTGTTAGAACTGCACAACTAGGAACAACATTCAGTAGGTTTGATGCAAAAGCAATACTTTATGCACTTAATATGAAAATTATGGGGATTTGAACTCTTTTTGTGTATTTATATATATATATATCTAATTCTTATGTAATTGGTTAAGTAATGCAAAACTACAGTCGTGATTGCAAACAATTTACATTTGGTTGTATAATTAAGTTTTTTGGGTAGGGGCTATTGAATTGTTCTTTTTGACTAACTCAAAGTTAGGGTAATGGTTAAATGAAGTCTTTATTCGTTTTGATTTCAATATTCTCCTTTTTCTATTGCAGTTTACTTGTAAAATTTTATACTCAGTTCTTAGAGTAACATTTCTTTGCTCTCAGTCTGATTTTTACTGAAATATTTTAGTGAATTATCTAATAACCTAAATTTATCAATTCATTACAAGCATGCTTTATAATTATTCATTTCAAGTTGTTTTGGTGTATTTACTATAATTAAAGTAGATAAAATACTTAAACAGTTACTGATATTTTTAGTTATGTATCTGAGATTTTTGAAATACTTTCTTTCCCAAATTGTTCGGTTCTGCATATTACAGTGTATGTGTAGTCTTGCTTTTTTCAGCAAAAAAAAACATTAAATTTAATTTTTTGAAACTTGGTGTATTTTGGTGCTTGATTTTCTGTGACTGATACATATCTGAATTTTATATTCTGGTTAGTCATTGTTGAAAAAATATTCATTACAATTAAAGAAAATTTGTGCCCCCCAGTGGTACAACAGTAAGTCTGAAGGCTTATGATGCTAAAAATTGGGTTTTGATACCCCTAGTGAGCACAGCACAGCTAGCTCATTGTGTAGCTTTGTGCTTAACTCCAAACAAAGAGAATTTAGTGGATATAATGAAGTTGATGACAATTAGGTTTTCTGAAACCACTTATTATTTTTACTAGCTATTCGTGTTACATGCATATTAATAGTATGTTATTTTCTGAGTTATGAGTTATTAAGCAAAAATTCATTAAAATTTAAACAAAGCTATAACTTATTGTCAGGTTTTTATGTATAGATAGGCTGGATTTTTTATACATGTATAAAAACAAATTTCCAAAATTTTTCCCACTGAGGAACAACTAATTCCGATCCCAAAAATTTCACAGACTGCTTCCTACAATATCAACTTGTTTTATATTTTCAAATTGCATTGTGCCCTCTGGTGGGTCAGATGTTCGAACTTGCAAAGCTAAAATCCAGGGATTGATTCCCCGCAGTGGACAGATTACAGATAGCCCATTGTGCAGCTTTGTGATAAAAAAAACAACAAACAAATTACATTGTAAAAAAAATTCATTACATCTATTTTAAAATTTTTAGTAACAATAAATTGCTTAATCAAATACTCATGTTACTGATGATTAATTAGATTTATTTCCTTAATAACAATAAAATTACTTAAAATTTAAAAACTAATATTCTGCTTGATTATCAAAGAATAACTTACTTGATGTTATTACTTTTTATACTACTTACATTGCTAAGCTTTCTTGCTTTTTCAAAATAAATGTGTTGTAACTTAGTACCACTTTGCATTTAAAATACAACCACAAGTTTATAGAAATAATAAAATTAAACTTGCCAAATGATGATTGCTTATAACGCAATGGTGGTAGTGTGATGATGCTACTAATATAATACCTGCCTGTTGTGAGCTGCAAGCACGTTCAGACTGTCTGGGTTCTATGTTTCATTGTTACTCATAGTGATTCTCGAATGCCGTAATGCTTTGTTTTTGTGACAGAAAACCTCGTCTTACAGACATATGAAGGAGAAAGTTGGCAGTGTTTGTAATGTGATTCCACTGAATTCAGATATTCTGGTTTTATCTTTATCTAAAATGTTAAAGGCAATCCTCTGCTTGAAACTGTATGGTGTATGATAAAACTACCATTTTATATTTCCACATTATGGTAACCATGTTCCAGTCTTCGAAATAGAAGGAACTCGAATATATTACTTTTCTGAGGTTCATCTATTTAGAAACTATTCTTCAATTTTTCACTCAAAAATTTCAAATGGTGGCCAATAATTTAAACCAAATTACGTCAAACTACCTCATTCTGTGAAGAGAAAATTTCGGACAAACATGCCAATTTTGTAAGCCAGCACACATCCGTGAAATTATCTGCCCAATTAGACTTCTTTTCCGTGAGGAATACGGCAAGTTTATTTTTTGGTTGGAAAACTCTCAACGTTACCTCAGAACAGCCACGAGAATTCTGTGTGCAACAGCAGCTGGTTAGGTCAAGCACCCATTTCACTGCACAGAAACGCAAAGAAGTGGGAGTTTGAAGTATTAGCTTTCACGTTTTTAACTACTTTCACAACTGTATTAAAAACATTGGACAGTTAATTTGACATCTTTGTTGTCAGCATTTCCACGGTGAAAAAACAGTGCATTGACTCGCATTCTGGGGCAACGTCTTTCACTAACCATTATACCAGAACGAATTCCAGTCATTGCTTTTACACCATTTATACAGATTACAACAAGAAATTATAATCGAGGCCATGACCAGTCACATATTCATTGAAAGTCGTAAACACTTTACTACTTGAAGTCTGTTTAGGGAGTTCAAGATCATATAGCCCCCCAGGGGCACAGCAGTATGTCTGCGGACTTACAATGCTAGAATCTGGGTTTCGATACCCGTGGTGGGCAGAGCACAGATAGCCTATTGTGTAGCTTTGTGCTTAATTACAAACAAACAATCAAGATCATATAACAGTTCTGCAATTTAATTACCCTCATTTTCAAAACGTATGTACGCCAACGAAATTGCCAAATTAGCAATCAATGCTATTGATTCGTCTAGTTGTAGTAAAAATATTTTGCCTTATTCAGACAAGAATATAAGTTGATTTTCCATGTCTTGAAAGATTTCAATTATTTGAACCACCGTATTATCTGAAAGAGGTACTTAACTCCACAACACACAGTGAATATTTATTTAGATAACACAGACCACAATGTGTGCATCTGCACAAAAGCTCAAGCCTTTGTGTTCCAAGTGAAAAAGAACACCACTGAAGCACTGTCTGGTTAGAGAAAAACCAGTTCATTAGCCAGTAGAAGGATGTGCATCATCAGGTCAACACACATCTGAGGTGATATCACGCATTAAAAAATATCACCTTCTTCCAAACCCAAAACACGTCTTCCTATCTTTGTACTGCTCCGGGAAGAAAGTGAGGAGATGGAGATTAACTTACTTAGACTAGCAGTCTCTGGCATGGCAAATACGATAGCAAAATTTTCCATCTATCTGCCAACAACTGCACTCATAACTATCCCAGAGCATTTGTGAACAGAAACCATGTGCCAAAACTGTAAGGCTGCGTAATTTAAACTATTTCTCTTGAATTTATGGTTTTAGTTTGTTAAGTTACTATTATTATCACTTTGTTTAATTTATTTTCTTAAGATACCTTGTTTTCGATACATTCTTTTCAGTTGTTGGGTCATATACTTGTCCTTTATTTTATTAAACCTTTTTTTTTTCGACTTTGTGCTAATCTTTGCCCCCCAAAAGATTACACATCAAAGTGGTCATGCAACCACCTATACTTGCCTGTCTCTACTATAATGTTATACAGCCCATGGGCTGTGTTCAAAAGTGTGGTAATATTTCTGACATGGCAACACGGGATAGTAGGATATACAACCAAGATGCCTAAGGGTACTAACTAGCGTTGGAATTACCATGATGGCACGGTTGGTTCAATGCTGACTAAATCTGAAACACTGTTGACATTTCTAAGATGGACGAGAGGCAAAAGAAAAAGTTTTTAGAATAATTGGAATTCGCACAATGTTGGAAGATGATTATAATAAAACAAAGTCACTACAGAAACATAATGTTTAAAATAGAAATAAATATGTTTTATTTAGCGACGTTTCGAGCAACAGCTCTTCATCAGACAGGCTTAATTTAGTAATAACCTGAGGATGAGTAGTTGTTATATAAAATAAAGTTGTTTCTGTTTCATCGTTTGTGTTTTTACAGTGACATTCTTTCAAAAGGAAAAGTTCTGAATCCATATTTACAGTAAACTGTAAGTCATCTATCACAAGTGTCACGTTCCTCATAGAATCTACCATATTGCATTTTTCAGTCTAAACACTCCTTCGAACTGTTAAGTGTGTTGAGCCAACGTTGAAGCAACACCAAAAGTCTACGGTCACAAAAGTTGACACTAGGAACAGAGTACATCAAAGCTGAATGTCAGCATTGACTTTTGGAATGTGCCCTAACGAAAGTACGGTATGACACAACATACTAATTTTTCCAGTCTTTGTTGTCTTCTTTTTAAGTATAAGTCGAGACAATGTTGTTTTTATTGTTTGTTTTTTATCTGTTGTTGGAAACTGAATAATTATCATTCTAGTTTTTATTATTATGCCACAATTCTCACATAAAGTAAATTAAAGGTGGTACTTCTTAAAGTAACTTTTATTAATGAAATTTGTGAGTAGCTATTATTTCTTTAATGATAGAGTAACTCGAAACTTTTTACAAAATAATTAATAATAGATTATTATATGATATTATGTAGAACTTGAAGAGCCCGTACAGGAAAGTCAGCATATGTTTTACTTCACCTAAGTAATGCAACCTGCGGCCGAGGAGATGTTGTAACATAACAGACAATCCCACTAAAGGGTTGTTGGTGGGTGGTGTTAACTAGAACCGTCTTTTCTCTAATTTATCGCTTCTAAATTAGGTACGGCTAGTGCAGATAGCCCTCGAGTATCTTTGTACGCCATTCAACAAACAAACAATTACCTGAATGACTGATATCAAAAGATATATTGAAAATATTGAGTAGCACGTGCTCCTGCGGTTATTGGTTCTAAATTCTATTTTATGAAGGAAAAAATTTATCGATTTTCTTGTATAAAACAATGCTTAAAAATAACTAGTTTCCACTGTTAATTCTGTAGAATATTAATTATGTAACCGACATTAGTAATGTAACCGATTTTTCAAAGAAAGCTTATATCTATATGGGTTTTTGTTTTTATTTATTTTTCGAGTTCAAGAATGAAGTTTCCCTTTTTTAAACACTAGTATTTTTAATCACTTAAATATTTTGAAGTATCATTTATTTTACCTTTCTTCAAAAAATCTTATACATGGTTTAAAATGTTCGCTTTTTGTTTGCAAATTGTTGTATCATTTTTGCAAAAATAATACTTTCGAAATCAGATAAAAAATCATTGCCATTTTAGGACATTACAAAGTATTACTATATTTTATTGTTGTACAATATGAAATAAATAACAACTTTGACATTTTCCAGTTATTTGCAAGTTCAACTTTTGATATATAATATCAGGACTGCGTCGATTACTGAAGAAACACTTCACTGACTTTCTGCTAAATTTTTGTTATAATCTATACCATTTAGTGAATATTCCGTTTTCGAACTGACAGAAAATTAGAATTAAGATACAACATTGTTTCTGAAAAGAAAAATTCATTCTCACTAATATTTTGATTAATTTTTGATAACTCTATAATACATGTCTTCGCATCCACGTCTGTTACATGATGAAATATGCCTTCAGGTGTAGCACGTTGGTTGGGAT